CATAGCCCAGTTATGCCCGAGTTGTTGGGCCGTGTGCGGGATCGACCGGGTCCGGTCCGGGCACTGGGCATTGGACCCAAATGGACAGCCCTAGGTTTATCAGGCGAGTAAATTTTATTCCTCAGGGTTCATATATCATGTATATTTGACTTAGTTTTATATTGGTTATCGGTTACTTGACCCTAACTCTAATAAGATAAGTGAATGGTATTACCCATGATAGAACTGAACAGAATAATCCATAATAAAAGATAATGAAAGAATATGAACCATTTCGTTGATCTCCGTATTTTGGGATAAATGTTTTATTTTACTTTTTTTTGTCAATGAAAAAATTTTATTTCACTCACCAAAGTGTAAGCGCTTTGTACATCAAGTCTCTCAAAAACTGAGGTATCAAGCTAAAACATTCTAAAATAGGAAAAAGAAGACTAGTGGAACTAAAGTATCAAAACTTCCTGATACTGCTACATTGAGAGGAGCCATTTACAGGCTTCATCCGACAGTGAGCTGTTAAGTGAAATGGTCTAAGTATCAACCTTGATGACTTTGATCAGTTGCTCAACACTTCTGGATTCCTCCTTGAAGATCGTAGCATTCCTCTCTCTCCAAATGTTATAGATTGTAGCCGTTAGTGCTAGTCTTTTAATTCTCTGTTTGCTTCCTTTTCCCCTCAATCTGAAAATATACCAGTTCATGAGCATATGCCAATCCGCTGATCTCCACTTAAACTTAAGCCACTCCATAATGCCATTCCACACACAATTTGAGAAGTTACAGTCAAAGAATAAATAATTTCTGTTCTCAGCTACTACACCTTCACACAAATAGCACTGGTTTGATTGGATGATTCCCCTCTTGTGCAATCTATCCTGTGTAAGGAGTTTATCTTGAATAGCCAGCCACATAATGAAAGAATGTTTGGGATAGTTCAACTTTTCCCAAACAATATCATGCCAGTCCACCTTCGAATCTGGTTTTAGAGCATTATACAGAGCAGAGAGGTGGACTTTGGAGTTGACATAGCAAGAGCTAATTAGATTCTTCAAGTTCACAACCCCACCCAATAAGTTCACAGCATTGTCTCTAGTCTTGATTAATTGCTTCCATAACCAAGAGTCCCCAGCTTTAGCCTTAACATGTCAGATATCACTATCCTTCAGATAAGTGCCATGAACCCATTTTATCCATAATGACTCCTTGTTGATGTAAATATACCAAAGTGTTCTCAGCGCAGTTGCTTTATTCCATAGAGTAGCAGAAAAAATCCCCAAGCCTCCATTGATTTTTCCCGTAGATACATTTCTCCAAGCAAGAAGAGGAACTTTGCCCTAGAGAAAGTTTCTACAGAGTTCATCTATTTTATGAAGGAATTTAGCTAGAGGTCCAGAATATTTGCACTCCCAGAATCACACTCTTTATGATTTGTAATCTACCAGCGTATGATAGGTTTTTGCTCTTCATCCATGTTTGAAACTGGCTTGTTATTTTCATGAATAAAGGATTGCAGTCCATATAAGACATCCGTTTGCATATGAGTGGCAGACCAAGGTACTTGATGGGCAAGGTACCCTCAGGAAATCCCAAGCTTCTTGTAATAGCATTCTTAACTGATTCTTGAATCCCACCGTAGAAGATTGAACACTTTGAAGGATTAGCTTCCAATCCAGATATATCACCAAAGTCTTTAACACATTTGTAGATTCTTTGTACAGAATATAAGTCACCCTTGCTGAAATGGAGGAGGTCATCAGCAAAGACTAAGTGTGAGATTTTGAACTTTCTACACTTTGGGTGGTATTTAAACTGTTTATAATTCCTTTGAAGTTCAATACTCCTGGACAAATATTCCAGACCAATAATGAAGAGATGGGGGGAGAGGGGGTCCCCTTGCCTTAAGCTTCTTTCTCCATTGAAGTATCCATGTAGTGAACCATTTAGTGAGATGGAGTATTTGGGGGAGGAGATACATCTTTCTCCATTGAAGTATCCATGTAGTGAACCATTTAGTGAGATGGAGTATTTGGGGGAGGAGATACAGGACATGATCCAGCTTGTAAAAACTTCAGGAAACCCCAAGCCTCTTAGCATATCATGCAGAAAATTACAGGACATGATCCAGCTTGTAAAAACTTCAGGAAACCCCAAGCCTCTTAGCATATCATGCAGAAAATCCCAGCTAATAGTGTCGAAAGCTTTACTTATGTCAATGTTTATCATTACTCAGGGTGAAAGATTTTTCCTACCATAGTTCTTGACAAGTTCATGTGCTAGCAAGATATTACTGGAGATTTGTCTCCCCTTTACAAAAGCACACTGAGCCTCATTTATGATAAACCCCATCATAGTTTGAATTATGTTTGCTAAAAATTTTGATATGAATTTATAAAGGCAATTGCAATAGGAGATTGTTTTGAAATCAGCTGGGGTTTTAGGACATTTTACCTTAGGAATCAATGCAATGTTAGTTGAGTTTACAGCACCCAGCAACTTCCCTGATCTAAAAAATTCTCTGATAGCAGTTATAACCTCATCACTAATAGCAGACCATGCTGCTTTATAGAAAGAGGCACTATATACATCTGGCCCTGGGGCTTTATTATCTGGCATAGAAAAAACAGCTGCTTTTATCTCTTCATCAGTGATTGGCATAGAAAGTTCTCTCCTTTGATTTTCCATCAGGCATGGCCCATTGCTAATAATTTTTGTATCTGCAGTTGAAGTGAGCTTTGCAGAGCCCATTAAACTTTTGTAATAAGAGATAAACTCATTTACAATTTCCTCTCCATCAGAAATTTTCTCTCCAACACTATTATATAGAGTTAAGACCCTGTTTTAGTGTCTGTTTGATTTAATAATTGAGTGAAAAAAACTTGTATTCTTGTCGCCTTGTATACTCCAAGTAATCCTAGCCTTTTGCTGATAAAAAGATAGCTCACAAGCTAAGAAATTACTGTATTTAGAAATGCAGCACTTTTCTTGACCATGTTTTATTTTACTTGTTATTGTTATTATAGCATATTTATTTTTATGTTTTCTGAATTTTTTATATTTAATTTTTCTTCATCTGAATGAATGCTTTTAACAGTCCAATATTCTCATACCGTGTCAAAATGTATTTTATTCAAAAAATTAGCTAAGTAGATCAGCATAACATAATTCTTAGTTACTTTCTCACGTGTGAGTGTAATCTTACATTGCAAAATTAAAAAAAAAAGCAGTCAATTTAATTGAAAAGTGAGATCAGTACAAACAGTTCAAGCTTTGGGTTAGTTTAGTTCTTAACCTCAAGAATGATTAAGGTGTGAATGTGAGCAAACATGCATTGTTACCCCAAGGTGCATGGTGAGCCTACAGGCGACCAAATCAGTGGACTAATTAAGATCTAAGTTAGCCCGTACATATCGAAGGAAGCTTGGATTTTGCTAATTACGTTTTTATTCATGATTGTCGCTTTAGTCCAATGTCGGGTTAAACCACAAAGGAAGAGATTGTTCGCAGGATCAGTGTCTTAAGTCGTAGCTGATAGAAAATACTACGTACGAATGTTGTTGATAGCCATATTAATACACCACGATCGTTAGCATCTGTGGAAACCAAACTCATAAGATTTTCTCCTTTCTGACCTATGAACTTGCTTCCTATATACCCAAATGTCCCAGTCAATTCTCAATCACCAAGATCCAATGTTCTCACCAAGTGAATAAATGCCACAGTATCAAGATCCAAAATTCTCTGATGCATTGAAGACATCGATCTCTCCTGGTACCAAGAGCCCCCATATTAAACTACACTTCCAAACTCAATACCCCTTAACTAACCCCACATTAAATTTTTAATCCATCCCTTCCACTTTCATACCAAGTTTAAAAGGTAATTTGGTTAAAAAAACCCTTACATTTGGTGGATTCTGATAAAAGCCCCAAAGCCTAAAAACTTTCACTTAACCCCCTCCCGCCATAAGCTCTTTCTTCCTTCTTTTTCCAACCAACCCGGCCACTCTAAACGGTGTTAGATGAACTTATAAAAAAAAATTTATATACTGTTAAGCGACATTAATCGAATGCTAAGGTTATAGGGGGTGTTATATATCTGACAGAACTTAAGTGGAGTTAAGTGACATGTATAAGGTTTAGAGTGTTATCTCAAAGATAACCATACTTAAGTGGGGATTTTGTGAAATTTACCCAATTTTTTTATTCCCTCCCTCCCCTCTCAAATACCCCCCAAAACCCACTCACCCAAACAAACTAAACACAACCAAGCAAGAGAGCATGGCATCAACAAGCCTCTCTCTCGCCATCCTCTTCCTGATCATCACACTCTCCTCCATATCCAAAACCCACCAAACCCTATCCCCGAGACCCGTTAACCGCTTCGTCAAGGAGAACCCTCACGCCAACAGAGGAGACAAATGCAACTCAAACAAAGAGACCATTTGCCCTAACGATCCTGCCAAGAACGGAACGGACCTGCTCAGCTGTTGTAAGAACCGGTGCGTCGACGTGCTGAGGGACCGGAGCAACTGCGGTGGGTGTGGTGTCAAGTGCGGGTTCGGGCAGCTGTGCTGCAACGGGCTGTGCACGGTGGTGGCGTACGATGTGAATAATTGTGGCAAGTGCGCGAACGTTTGTGCGAGTGGGGTTAAATGTGAGTATGGGGTTTGTGGGTATGCTTGATATATAAGTGCATTATTGGTTAATTTTATAATAAAATATGTTTCAATTTTTGCGATAAAGAAATTAAAGGGGGCATAGATTGTAAACTTATATGTTTTTGTTTTGTGCGTTGAGATTGATTGTAATGAGAATAACGCAGAGGTATGGCTCATGCTTCCCGAATAAAAGAGTCCTGCGGCTTTGTTATAGAGTGAAAATTTAGCAAGAAAATGTTTGTGTCTGGATCTTTGGGCTTAATGCCACATCTTTTGACTTTTTTCTTTCACTTTTGAGAATTCTTTTTGTTGGGGATGTCATTAACTTTAATGTGTAAATTACCGTTACGATATAAAATTATAACCGTCAATGCTCACCACCACTCCAGCATTTTGATGCAGTAGTGTCAGAGTACCTTAAAGCAATTCATGCTCGAATCTTAGGAGATCAAATAGTTTTCATACAATGATTTTTTTTTTTCTTGAGTCCACTAGTACGAAGAAGTCTGGCTAGTGTTTAGTATCTCAAATTCTCCTATGCTATCTTAAAATTTAAACATCATCATGATGTCTAAGAACTATATAGGTTAGCTGTGGATAGACATCCTATATTATCATAAATTGCGGATGAACCCCTGTTCTACTATTGCAAATAGAACTTCTGAGTTAATTTTTTAAATGTTTTACCTTTAGAAGGTATATTGGTTATTATAAAAAAAATAGTTTCTCGTTCTAAAGGAGTCAAAAATTTTCATTTAGGGATCTAGCTGGGATAATGGAACTGAAGTGGGGTCTATCTAACAATTAAGAAACTCCTCTCCGTCTGTGTTCTTAGACGTGTTGAACCTCTGAACTTGTCGATCTAGCCCATTCTCTGAACGTTTTTCGGTAAGAGCAGTTGGGCCTTCAGTGATAAGCGGGGCATAATTGGTAGCAACCTCGCACTTATACATACTGGACCGTTATTTATACACACAGGCCTTTAATTTGTCATCTCAACTAATTTGTGAGAAGGCCTTCTTAGACATTTTATAAGAAGCTAATAGAAATTAACAATCCTCATCGTATGAAGCCCATGGAATCTCCTCCTTTTCTATTTTGCTTTTCTTTTTCTTTTTTTCCCTTTTTTTTGTTTTTTTTTTCTTTTTATTTTGGTTCGTGCGGGGTGAAGGGTGTCCCCCTCCCTCGCCAATTCACGAAAAATGACTCTATATTATTATGTCATGTGGGAAAAGTATAAACTGTATACTTTATATTAATTCTACTTAAAGACATTTGTTCACCCACAAAAAGTTGTACTTGGTAGTGCTGTGACATAATCTCCTCCACTCATTCAAATGATTGCATATTCTCATGCACTCCCCAACCCATGTGAATGTGATCCCCATTTGAATGAGTGGAGGGGGTTGTGGCATCTTACTACAAAGCACAAAATTTGTGTTTAGTACCAAGCATACTCATATTTCTCATATATATATATATATATATATATATATATATATATATATATATAAAAAATGAGAATATATATATATATATATATATATAAGATTAATGGGTATCATATGTCATATGAGTGGATTCCCTCATATATAATGATGTGGTACAATCTCCACCAAGTGAATAAAATAGGAGAAAGAATGCCTCATAACTACATTTAGTGGAGATTGTGCCACATCAGTGTATATGAGAGAATCCCCTCATATGACATGATACCCATTAATCTCTCTCTACACGCACGCACATGCGCGCGCACACACACACTTACAATAAGTAGGTCATCTTCATCAATCATCAAAGTATCATTCTTATCCAATCCAAAATTCTCTGAAGATTAATTTGGAGGTTAGTAAAGAAAGTAGAAAAGAGATAGATGACCGCCATCGCCTTTTAGATAAACATGGATCACTTGCGTGATTTTTTAAACATAAATAGAACAATTGCTAATGCTAATAGCATATAAGAGGTCTTTTTAGCTATTTGCCATTTGAATCATGTCATTCTAAAATATTACATTTTATATGAATTACTACATAAAATCCATGCCAGTTGATGATTATGATTTTGGAAAACAGAAAATCATAAAATGGCAAGAGTCTTTTGTTTTCTAGTTTCGGAGAAACCATGCAATCTATTGTGTTGGCCACTAACATATCTTTCTTACCATCCACACAAAAAATTATTCTATTTATACATAAACCATCAACTCATCTCGATCCAAATATAGCACAGGCAAATTCAAGAGACGTCTAATAAACCAAATACCAAAAACAAAGGAGCAAGAAGCGGTCAGCTCAACCCTCAATTCGAACCTACAACCTCCCGCCAAATTCTCCTCCCCTTCTAAATCTAGCCCAATAAAGCCCATCCAAGGAAAAGTTATAAATTCTCACAACAACCAACATAAACAACCCGGGTTGGTCAACATCCGACCCCCTAAAAGATGGCTCTCCGATCAACGCTCATCTTCCTCTTCTTCATCATCCTCGCCATCATCTCCGTCCAAACCTCGGCGGTGCCCGCTAATATGCGCACAGTGGGTGACTTCGTTGAGCGAGAGGAGGAGATGGCCATGGAGTCAGAGTCGGCGAGAAGAGGATTGGGGGAGGAAGGGGTGCACATAAGCTACTATGCGCTGAGAAGGAACAGCGTACCGTGTCCTCAGGGTGGAGTTTCATATTATAACTGTAATAGCATGGCGCAGGTGAATCCTTATCGCAGGGAGTGCAATGCTATTACGAGGTGTGCTAGGGTTCTTACCTGAGGTATTTGACAGGAGAATGATGGAGAATTAAGTGTTATGATTTAATTTATTTGTGGGTCTTTGTTGTTGTTGTTGTTGTTGAGGATGATGATGGTGATGGTGACGATGATGATTGTATATGTTGCTAATTATATGTTCATGCATGTGATTAATTTTCTGATATATATATGTTACTAATCAACTACTTCATTGTTTTCTTATTAATGGGAGTACTGCAATAGTTAATTATAGTGTTAATTCATTCTGATTCTGCATCTAATCTTATTCATGTTTGATAATTGGAGAGTTAAGTGGTCGAAAATAGATCAAATATGGACAAAAAACAGAATAAATTTTCTATATTTTTAATGTTTGACATTTGAAAATAATTAAAAGTTATGCAAAATTATAATAAAGCAATAACTAATGCAAGTCATCGTTATTTTAATAATTTTCCATCTCACCAAAATTTTGAAAAATCTGTTTATAAAGTAATTACCACTACATCAAAACTTTAAAGTTATGGTGAGAATTGAAGATTATTGTTTTACATCTTTTATTTTCTTCTTTTACATTTTAGCACATATGCAAAGTGGATGAGAAGGGAAGAAGTTAATTTTTATTCTTTTGTTTTATCATTTTATTTCAAGATTCCCTTTCGGTTGATCATTTTCTTGCTAACCTGGCAAATTATAAAGAAAGTGGATGTCATATATAAGTTTTTATTTCACTTGTCACTTTTCAATTTTTGTCATCCAACCATATAGAAAGTGGATCTACCATAATCTATTTATTAACCATATTTCAACTAGGGGTGGAAATGAACCAAATAATTAACAAATAGTTCAATAATTGTTCGAGTAACTATTCGGCCATATTCAATTCAGTAGTTCATTTATTACTAAACAAATATTTTTCAGTATTCGAGTTTACTATCAAATAGAATTTAACCAGATATATATTTGATTCATTTGTCTATCAAATATTCGTTTAAAATTTGATCACTTATTATTTGTGTTATTGTACATATGATGTCATATTTTTAACACAATTATCATTTCTACTATAGTTTTATGTACTAATTTTAAGACTTAAATAATTTTAAATCTTTTCTAATAAAAATTTTAATTTAAAATATATATACATCATGTATTATAAAGGAATAATTTTATTTATGAATTTAAATACTATTTAAAATTTAAATTCTTTAGCGAAATAAACATACTTTGATATTCAATAAGTATTCGTGAATATTCATGAATATTTATTAAATACCAAGTATTCGAGACCGAATTCGGAAAACTCCATATATTAATATTAGAGTCCACATTTGAATTCAATAATTTTAAATAAATACAAATACGAATACTATAGTATTTGATTCGATTCAATCATTTACGATCCCTAATTTCAACACTCGTGTGATCATCACAAAAACCAAACAATAAATTTTTTGAAGCCATCAATGAGGTTTCTGTGTGTGTGTGTATTAGATAAATGAGGATCAAACACTGATAACAATATCGGAACATCCTAAGTTGTGCCATGTCTTTAAGTAGTAGTGGTGGATAATCAAATCTCAATTACTCTTCTGACATCTGTTGGGTACCAACTCAAACTCCAAGTCGAATGCGGGTTTGAAGGCTAGCCTAATCCTAGTAGTTTTCTTAGAGGCAAAGTTAACTTGAAGGACAAGTCAATGTGTCTTTAAATAAGGCGTCATATTCTAAGGTTTCATAGTAGGGAGAAGGAGAGAGACAATATTCTTGTAATCAGGGTTTTAGAGGGTGTAACCGGGTTCAAGGGTATTGTGAGAGAGAGGGTTTGACAGTCTTTATCTATGCAAGTGGATTGATTTTGATCCCGTGGTTTTTTCCTGTTGGAGGTTTTTCACGTTAAATCTCGTGTGATTCTATTTGCTGCATTTGATGATTTTTGGGGTTTTGTGAGATCTAAAAATCCTAATAAATGGTATCAGAGTGGGATTCGACTATTCGTGGAGGTTTGACCGGTGTACGATTACTGAACGCATCAGCTGTCAAAGCGCGATGATCGACAGTGGGGGAAAGCAAAGGTACTGTAGCTGGGAATAGTGTAGCAGCGACGGGAACACTGTTCACGTGGGTGAGGGTTGTAGGCGTTAAAAATTACCCACGAATTCCCGCACACGGCTTGAGACAGAAAGAAGATGATGAACATCACTATCTGGGTCACAGAAGCTTAATTGATGTAGATAAACGCATGAAGTAAGTCGACGAACCGTGTGAAGCAACGGAACTGCAGAATAACTAATCGGGAGCTACGCTTCGCTTACAAAAGACGTGTCTCATCTACTCCACATATGATTCAACCATGGAAGCTTGTATATCTTCTCGTTTGCTTTCCTTCGCACTTTGAATTGCATAATTCTGAGTTCGGACGACGAAGATACGACGGAAACAGACGGGACGCACGAAACAATGCCCCGGGCCTTAGCGGACACACTCCAAGTGTCTCGGCCTTGGTAGAGACTGTCTTGCTTTGAATCTGGAGAAGCTCAAAAGACAATAGTTGTAGAGATCCTTGTTATCTTTTTAACAAATCTTGGATTAACTTATTCTGAGATCGTATGAGAGTGATGAAGCCAAAATACCAAATATAGTACGAACTGCCTCAGAATTCTGAGACAGTGTTGGTGTCTCGGAGAAGAATAAAGATTTTGGCCATGATTTGATTCCCTTCATAGGCCAAGATCACACGCAAGCAGCGGAGGATAAACGTCCGTTGTGTTTGTTTAAAAGAAAGTTATAATTTTTGTTGAAAGTATTATAAAAAGACTGTTTTTTTAAGTTTATTGTAAATGTTTAAAGTTGTAATGAGCTCATTAATAAAAAAATCAATTTTCTCCCCAAACAAGCTAGCGACCACAGTGGGAGCCAACAGCCTAACTGCCAAGGCTGTCGTGCCGCAGCCAACGATCAAGATGCCGGTGAACGAAGAGGTCGAATACGAATTCAACCAATAGAAGTTCAAGGAGTACATCTCCTCCTCCTCCTCCAGATCCGCCTCTCCTCACAGCGCAGGAAGGCCTCCTCCTTCAGGAAAATCCGCTGGTCTTCAAATCTGAAGACCCAAGAAGACGATCTCTCCGCCACCACTGCTATAGTTGCACCTCACAATGACCCGATGGTGTTCGATGAAGCCAAAGCCACAGATCCGGACACCGCCTTCATTAAGGAGTTGATTGTTAAAGGCATGCCAAATTTGTCGAAGAGGGCTCGTCAAAGGCATCGTCAATGTCTTGCTCGTCAGTTCGCTAATGCTTTGGAGCAAGTGGATGGACTCCGCTACCAAGCGGATGTAGAGTTAAGAAAATGCCAAGTGGCTAAGCCATCGCCACAACAAGCATCAGGGTTCTCCTTCCAACCGTCAACTAACAAATGGGTTCGTGTCAAACGAACCCGTTCTACCCTTAAGGAGCGTATCCAGAAACGCCGTGCACTACATGCACACGCACGGATTCTCGTACAAGGAGCACAGAAATTGCAACAAGAAGAGGTGGTCAAGAAACCACCAAGATCTAAGCAGGTTTGGGTTCTAAAGGCTAAAACAGCACATATACCCGACAAGAGACACCAGTCGTGTCTCTCGCTCGATTCCAGATCCGAGGCTGTTCCCCAGCCTTCGTCAATTTTAGATCCCACTCCTATTGTTCCTGTACCTCAAGTGAAGCCCTACGACAGTGTGGATCTCTTCAAATCTAGAATTCTATTGAAGTATCACATGGGTCCTCTACATAAAGATCGAAACAGATTTGTGGTCAAAGAATGCTTGGGCATGGTGAATGAACCCCGAGCAACTCATCGAGCTGGGGGTCGTACTCGCCTTTGCAACAAGTCTGTGCCTTCTCGTAAGGAGAAAACTCCTATAACTGACCGCCTTGGACTGCATGTCGAAGTCCAAGAGCCCGTTGAGATCCCATGCTCACGAAGGCGTAGCTCAAAACGTGCGACTCTTGAGAGTGCCAACAAGGCGACGAATCCTCAGAAGGAAATGTGTTCGTCAGACAACAACGTTATACCTGAGAAGTCGTACCAATACACGATAGATTGCTCCGGTCATCATGCCGATGAGTTGTAGTATCAGACTAGGGGTACAAACAAATATTGAAAGAGAGATACCCGGGAGACGGACTTTCATTGTATGTGCGTCAAACTCATCAGGGTAATATTATCAACGTGTAGCTGTCCTAAGACTGCTCCACAGAGGGTCTCGGTATTCCAAAGGCTTTTCTCTAAAGCGTCAAACTAATCCAAGGCGTTTTCGTAGAAAAAGATCAGCTGCACAAGATGACGAACTCCCAGAAGTCACTATCAATATGGTCGACAAAGGAAAGTCAACACGAAGTTTCAGTCCCCGTTATTTTTCGGACGTATCCCAACGTATAACTCGGCTACGTGCAAGGACTACTAGATTTAGGGATTATCAGAGAATGCAGAGGGGATTATTCTCGGATGACGAAGCATCAGATGCCAACTCTACAGTCGCTTCTGACAAAACGGTATCCAGTCCAGGATAATCCCGCGAGGTTTTTATGATTAACACCGATGAAGTAGCTAAAATGGTTGAGGATGCTCTAGCCAAGCAGAAAGAAACATTCAAAATTGAAATGGAAATGGCTATAGAGCAGATGAGGGAAGAGCATGACCAATAGATTCGGGCTCTGTCCAATCAACTTGGTGAATCCAGTCGTTGCAACATTAATGACCAAGCAGGTAGCGATTTAGATGTGGATGAACATCTCAATATTGATAACCCTCCCGTTGACCAGAACGCTAGGGGTGGCCCTACTGAAGACAATAATGTTGGGGGTGGTCCCACCGAAGATGATAATGTCGGGGGTAGTCGCGTTGTTCCTCTAAGAAATTGTCCAAAACATGATACAGACGATGACGAGAAGATAAAAGACCTCGAGAGAAAAATCAACGCTCTGATGTCTGATCGAGAGGTGAAGAAGACTGGCATTCCGTGTCCTTACACAA